GGGCACATGCCTGTATCTGACAAATTATTAAAGGACAGTAGCTTCTTTTATTGAAAATGTTTCATAGTATATGACTGAGTTCTTTCCACTCTGCAAAATATTACCTTCCAAATCTTATAGTAATCCTCTTTTGGGAGGGTACTATACACAAATGTTTGTTTTAGTATATGTGTAACTGGGTTGTTTTTCCAATGGCTCAATTCTCTATGCATAGTTTCAATACAAAATCATTAAGAAATGACCTTGATCAGATAAGAAACAGTCCTTGTTTAGCAACCACAGTTGGGACCGGCAACTCGGTTATTAAATGAAGCAGTCACAAGGTGAAATTGCGACTGTACTTACAATCTGTTTTCCTTTGCTTCACAGGAAAGTCATAATTGGTGGTAAAGTTATTTTTTCATCACCATCATAATAACAGTGGCTAAAAGAGGCAGTTGCTAAACAAGAATCACCTGTAAACAGGATTGCCGTATTTCAATCAATCCAAGCTGATATTCACAAGTTTCTCTTTTTTTCCCCCCTCAGGGCTGCAAAGTATGCCAGGGGATTATGTGTCTCGGGGTGGTCCAATGGGCATGACAATGGGACAAGTTATACACCACCCCAGATGCCCCCCCATCCAGCACAGTGGGACAAGTTATACACCACCCCAGATGCCCCCCCATCCAGCAGAGTTGCGTCACGGCCCCCCCATGCATCCTTACCTTTCGGGACACCCCCACCACACAGCAATGATGATGCATGGTGGACCACCCCACTCTGGAATGCCGATGTCAGCGACTAGCCCCACCATGCTCAATACAGGAGATCCAGCAATGAGTGGACAAGTGATGGACATTCATGCTCAGTAGCTTAAAGGAATATACTTTTATTTTCATGAATGGCAAATTTGAAATATTGTCGTTCTACAATGACTTAATGGAGTTCCATTCTTGGCATCTAATTTGGACCAAGGAACAATCCGATTGTCTTTATAGGGACCCTGAAAAGCAGGAAAAACACACCAACTGAAGAAGCCAACTTCTGGGGACAAGAAAAATAACTATATAAGGCAACAAGAGTTGAATATTGTAAAATGCTATTATTCTGTTATCCATATTACGTTCTTTCTTATAGATTTTTTAAGAAAAAAAATGTGAATTTTTTTCCACACTATGTGTGTTGTTTCCATAACTCTTCACTTCCTGCAGAAGCCTCCTTACATTAAAAAAAAAAAAGCCTTACAGTTATCCTGCAAATGACAAAAAAAGATTTATTTGCAGGAGTTTTAGAGCATTAAAATATCTATGTCAGGCAGAAGAACATTTCTTCTATCCTAGGATTTCAGCCATGCACTCTGTATTTCTGTTTTTTTTTTCTCTCTCTCTCTCTCTTTATTTCTCTCTCCCCCCTTCTCTTCCCCACCCTCCCTGCCTGGGGCGTGAATTTGCATGTCTATTTCATTTACTCACCATATTTGAATTGGCCTGAACAGATGTAAATCGGGAAGGATGGGAAAAAGTGCAGTCCTCAACAATGATTAATCAGCTGTTGCAGGCAATGTCTTAAGGAGACTGGTAGGAGGAGGCATGGAAACCAAGAGAAAAGTGTGTTTGACCTTAATTGTCACTTCAGAGCATCATTATCCCCATGAAGCAGCAGCAGCAGCAGCAGCAGCAACCACCTACATCACTTCCTGTTTTATGCCTCTCAAACCATGAACTGAAGAGTTATTTTTACTAAGTTGACTTTATTTTTTTCAGCAAAGCATCAGTCGTGCATTTTTCCATAGTCCCATCATGGAGCATATATGTATACATTGTAAATAAATTTTGTGCAAAAAGGACTGGAAAAATGAACTGTATTATTGCTTTTTTCCCCTCTTTTCTTTCTTTCTTGTTTCTTTCCTTTCCTTTCCTTCTTTCTTTTTGTAAAAGTAGCAGTTTGGTATGAGTTGGCATGCATACAGATTTACTAAGTGGGATAAGCTAATTATACTTTTGTTGTGGTTAAACAAATGCTTGTTGATAGCCTTTTTTCTATCAAGAAACCAAGGAGCTAATTATTATTAATAATCATTGCACATTAAGTCTTAGAGTTTCTGACTGAAACTGTTTGGATTGTACAATAACTCAAAGCCCAGCTGTAGTAGTTCAAGTGCAGTAATGAAACTGAATCTAAAATAAAAGCAAATTATTTTTGTCACGCTGGCTCAACTGCTTGAAAATTTTATTTTTCTGCCCAAGCCCTCTAAAATTGTAGCAATTTGCTATCAACTATTCCAGTCTCACTCTTTCAAAATAATTTTAGCACTAGGCAGCTTTAGTAATATTTTTAAAAGTATTTTATATGGTGAACTTTTCTAGTCCTATTTATTTATTTTAAAATGATTTTCAAATCTTTACTATTAGATGCTAGTAATTCCAAATTAAAAAAGAACCAACTGCACAAGATTAATGAATGCCGTTACATATTTGTTATTTGAATTAAATTACTCTAGGATGTAAGTTAAATTTTACTCCTCAATGTTGATTACAAAAAAATAATCACCAGTCCTTATACCTGAATTAGTGCACTTACTTATAGTAAAAGATGTTATACTTTAAAAATCTAACGTTCATAAACAAATGTGGTTGCTGCAAATGATTGTAGTTAGAAATACTGACCGATTTTCCAGCATAGTTATATGTATATTCTGCTCTGTAGCCAACTGGTTAACTAGAACCAAATAACATGCTTAGATTTACAATACCTTATAATTTTCTTCTAAATAATATTACAGCTATAAAAAGTTTCCTAAGGGCATGGGAAAAAAGGGAAACTTTCACTAAGGCAAACTAATTAAAAAAAACCTATTTTTTTAAAGATTTAATGGTAAACTGCTCGATGGGAACAAAAGACCTCAGTGGTGAGAACTATGATGTCTGCCATTCACACAGATGTCACCCCATAAAACCGCCGTAACAATTCCCTGTTTAGATTTAAAAGGGAGACCAGTTGTTTGGTGGCTCCTAGGCAAAGTTTGATAGATTGGTTTATCTATTGTTTGAAGCACTTGGAGAGCATTCACTCTATCCAGTTTATATCTCAAATGTTTAAAGAAAAGTTAGTTAATAAGACAGCATCGTTTGCATGTAGGATACACATTCCCCACTATCCAGAATTTGAACCTAACATTGGACACAAGTCCTGGGATTGAGCCCCACAAATAACTATTCCTATATAGTTTCTTTCTGCTCAGCCGGACTTGAAGCTTTATTTTATAACCATTAAAAAAAAAGAGTCCTTTTATTTTCTGTGTTCTCTGTCTCTCTGGAAGGCATGCAGCTTTCAGTATGTGACTTTGCTAGTAATTAATTACTATTTGCTTACTTTCCCTATTGGGGTGGGGATTTTGTTATCTGATGTATCTGTTGAGGCTGAGAATCACAATGCCTTAAGTTGCACTGATGTTGAAACAGCCACTTAGATCGTACAGATAGTGATTCCTATATATTCCAACAAAGATCCAGTCATTTGCATTAATGGAGGGAGGGGCGTGGCTGTCTAGGAAACTGCCAACCAATCAGTGATTTAAGAAAATCAAATGTTTAATATAGGTCCTCCTCAGCCTTTCTTTGCTCAAAGAAACTCCTTCCAATTTTATAAATGGCTGGGGAGTTATCTTTCTTATCCCTGCAATTCCAAGAAAAAATAGAAATACATTTGTTGCCAAAGTTAGGTTTTGATAGCCTTCCCCATCTTTTATTTCAAGAGTGGAGCAAAAAAGTGTACATGCTACTATTAAAAGTTTTGGACGAATTGTTTTTTTCTTTAATAGATTTCCCCCCTTCATTTACAGTTAAAAAATTTTAACTCGAAAAATATAACCCAAGGGGTTATAAAAATATAACCTTTGGGGTTACATCCCCACACTCTTAATCAGCTGCAATTATAGCACATTAATGAATAATACTTTCAAAGAATATTTTTTTTTTTGGTTATTGTTCGTCACATGATGTTAGACGGCTTTTACAGGCAAAGGAAAGAGAAGTAAACGGGTTACAAATAGGGAATTATCCCTCGTTTAGCATTAAAATTCATTTAGATAAAATTGCCACAAACATTTAAATGGAGAGATTAGTTCCCCCTCACGCCTTATTGCACACTCTCAATGGCTCCGTTAAGAACACTTTATACGTTGGAAATTCCGCCTTCTCAGGCTGCTGGCTGTTTCCTAGTTACCCACATTCAAAGCGAAGGCAGCAGCGACAGAAGACAGGGCTGGGGGAAGGGAGAGAAGTTGGGGTTTCCTGCCCCCCTCTTTATCACACTCCCCCCCCCCTCTGGTGTTTTTTTTTTTTTTTTTGGCAACCAGACTGCAATTCATCCTCTTAGATTTGTTGGAAGTAAAGGGGAAAATAACAGGAGATTATTCTCTCTTTGGACACTCAGTTACCCTATATGGAAAAAAAAAAAAAGGCGCCGCTGTTACTCCTTTTCTGTCTGGTTCTCCTTCGCCGCCGGCTCCCCCTCGCTCCCCCCAAACTGGAAATCGAAAGTTTTGAGTTGGTTCCGTCCATCGCAAAGCGATCGAGATGAACATAGGTCCATATCGGGGTGTGGATATCGGTCCATATCGGGCTGGAGCTAGCGAGGGCATCGCTTGATAAAAAAAAGTTCTGACTCGCGCCTCTTCGGCCCATTTGCGGCACTCGCGCGGGGGCGGAAGGGGGGCAGGAAGAGATCAAAGGGGGCTGCTGAAGTGGGTTGTTTGCGCTGGAAAATCTCTGGAGGGATTCATTTGAAAACAGATCAGTTGTCTTCCACCTTCTTCCTCCTCCCGTTGCTTCCTTCCTTCCTTCCTTCCTTTTCTTTGCCTCTCTCGCTGCCACCCGCTGCAGAGCCAAAGGAGACGGAACGCCAGCTTCGACTGCCATCTTTTGGGGATTTGGAAAAACGATTCCCTCGCTTTCCTTTTCCCGATATTCCTCTACCTCCGTCCTTCCAAACCTCCGGTCCGAAATAAAAGAGATTCCGCTCTGGCTGAGGAGAATGAAATTTCGGGGTGGGCATTCTTGCAAGGGATTGGCTTGCAGTTGCGCAGGGAAGTCGTTTTTAAGTCGCAGGGAAAACTTGGCGTGGGTGTTTCGCTGCCGAAGAGCTCCGCCGGTCCTCGGAGTGTTTCCTACTCGGCCAAGCGCGGAACTATTTCCCTCCCCCTCTCCCCCCAAAAAAAACCCCCACAAGTTTTATCTTCAAGCAGGGAACGCCACCCCACTTTCCCTTCCCTGCGAAAGATTGTCTGACGAGGCCGCATGCGCGGTGGGGCTCCTGGACTGATATGTATTTTTTCACTCGGTGCTCGTCGCGGCTGCCGTATATAAATGTGAATTGGTGTCGAAAGAAATGAAGAACCGAACCGTCCGCGTGTTGAGGGGAGGGGGAAGGGGTTACTTCAAAAAGAAAGGAAGTGGTCCGGCCACTTTGAGACTCTTGCGGCCGCCTTTGGACGTTTCTCCCCCCAAGTTTTTAATAGTGCTTTCTTGCAACGTTTCAAGCACGTGTTCCGAGATTGGCGTGGGGGCGGTTGATTTGAACCAACACTTTGAAAAGGAACTGTGGGTCAGGCCCAAAATAACACGGACTGGCCGCTCCTCCTCCTCCTCAGCACGGAGAGCAGCACTTAACCAACCGCTCGTCCTCTTTTTTTTTTTTTTTAAACTGCTGGGTAGAGAGAAACGCCAGCGAGCGTGCGTGCGTGCGTGCGTGGCCTGCCTTGCGCGCGTGCGTGCCTGCGTGCGCGAGGCATCTGGGGATAGGTCGAGCCTGGCGCTTCTGCAATTGCCGCCATCTCTCGCCCTGAGGAAAGCGAGGTTGGCTGGGCGCGTTGTACGCCCGCCGTGCCCTGCTCGTTACAAAGCTAAGCCCCCCCACCAGGGGCTTGTAGCGAGGAGCGGGAGGGCCCTTAGCTACGGAAGGCTCACTGAGCAGTCCCTGTCGCTGAGCGGGCTCTCTTGTCAGATATGAGGCGGAGGTCTCTTGAATCGGGAGTCGGGCGAAGGCGCCCACCCCTCCCGTGTTCTCTTCCCTACCTGCAACTCTGGTCGCCTGAAAAAAAAAAAAAACCGCCCGAAAGGGAAACCAGTGGTCGGTCCGAAGTGAATTGGGACTCATCTCGGCTTCAGCGTGGTCTCTTTATTTTTCCTTTCACTGTCACGCTTTGACTCTTTCCGCGCACCCCCAAAAACAAGAAACCCGGACGAAGTGTTTAAAAAGGTCCCAGCGAAACTCCTTTCGCTCTGGTCCTCGAAACGCCAAAAAAAAAAAAAAAAAAAGAGGGAAAGAAATGGGCCTCAGGAAAAAGGGAGACCTATCCGTACTCTCCGAGCAGGTCGTCGGCAATACGTGCCTGTTACGAAAAACGGCCGTCGGGCTGTGGGAAGCCCACCACAGTCTGGGTCTGTTGCTATCCTGCCCCTCACTCCGCCCGCAGCCTCCCCAGAGAAAATGGAAGCGCGGGGAGAGCGAGTCCCCCCCCTTTTCCACCATCGTCTCCCTCGCCTCCGCTTCTCACTCCGGAGTCCAATCCGGGGCCCACCTGGCCTTGGACTTTAACCTAAAGGGGACAAAGACGTCCCCGCCGCCTTTCCTCGACTCTCCCTGGGGGCACTTCGGGGACCAGAATCCCGTACGATGAGGCGGGAGGCGTCTCGTCTTATGCAAGTTTCCGCGCGGTGCCTCTGTGTGTCGGTGTGTAAGAGAGCCCGAACAAATACTTTTCGGCTCTAGCCAGGTCAAACAAACAAACAGGGTCGATGTGGAGACAATTCAAGAGTTGTCGCCTCACGTTTGGTCGCCTCGCCGCTTGCCTCCCGAAAGTCGCGCAACCGCGAGAACGTGTGAATGTGCGTGGGCTTAGAGGGATCCCCTTAAAACGCGTGCGGGGAAGCTAGCTGGAGTTTTTCCAGCGAAGTGTCAGCTTCCGTCGAAAATCCCTGAAGTATCCCGAAAAACAAAGCTAAAGCGAGTGCTCTCTTCTTCCCTACTGCCCGGTCCCAAATCTCGGACGAAGATTTGGAGACCCTCGAGAGGAACGTTAGGAAAATGCTTTGTGTGTTTGAGAGGAGATACTGAGAATTTTCCCTCTTTCCTCCAAACCCGAGGTGCTGGGTGGATAAATAATGCTTTAATAATCCATAGA